CAGAGGGTCAGAGCTCATCCTTGTTTCCCAGAGTGCAGACTGCTAAGCGCACTAGAGAGCACATGACTCCCCCCCGGAGACCCCAGTACGTTGCAGGGATGTGATCCCACTGACATAGCAGGGCAGACTGGAGCCCCTGGTGTACAGGACCTCCCTCAAGTACAGCAGCACTGTCTGCAGCAGGGACTCGAACCCGCAACCCACCAGAGACCTGCTGTACCACCTGCACTACACTCTTCCCTGTCGATCAGTAGGCTGTGTCCGCAGCAGGGACTCAAACCCGCAACCCACCAGAGACCTGCTGTACCACCTGCGCTACACCGTTCCCTGTCGATCAGTAGGGTGTGTCTGCAGTAGGGACTCGAACTCGCAACCCACCAGAGACCTGCTGTACCCCCTGCGCTATACTGTTCCCTGTCGATCAGTAGGCTGTGTCTGCAGCAGGGACTTGAACCCGCAACCCACCAGAGACCTGCTGTACCCCCTGCGCTACACTCTTCCCTATCGATCAGTAGGGTGTGTTAAATATACAGCCGGGCAGACCGGAACCCCTGGGGTACAGGACCTCCCTCAAGTACAACAGCAGTATCTGCAGCAGGGACTCGAACCCCTGGGTTACGAGCTCAGAAGCTCACTCACGCCCTTGACCCTGTGCTGCCCCTCCCCTCCCTCCACCAGCCTCACAGAGAGACAGTTTTCACTTCTTTAGCAACCTCTCCTGCAGAGCCCCAACTCCAGACGACCAGCGATTCCCCACTCTCCCTGGTAAGCACTCCACACAACCAGTAAAGCACAAGCAACTGGACTTCGGACAAAGGACAAGATTTATAGGATGGCTACCTAGTCATACATAAACACTGTGTGTTTTTTGAAAGGGACTTAACAGACCAAATCTGCATATTGTTAACAAAAGCAGTGTTTTAAACACAACCAGCGTTTTACAGATGCTTCCATTAACAGCTGGACTACACAGAAAGCACAGGCGTAAGGTGACACATGTCGTGACTGCATGATCATGGTGTGATGCAAAAGATACACAAAAAACAGTCCTTCAGATTTAAACCTCAAGAAGCACCGCACACGTCTCGCAGAACTCAGAGAAAGCTGCAAAAATCGGGACATTTTTATTTCCATTTGCCTGCTGTGTCGTCTCTTGCTTCTGACACTCGGTTTCACAGTTCCTTACGTCCGACAGCGTTGGCGTATACTGTTAATTCGCCTCACGAGAGCTTGAGAAGAGATCGGGGTGCTGAGAATGTGCAGGATGTTTTCACTATCATCATAATCATAATGAATAAAGGCTCTTCTGGACTCTCCAATCAAGGCTCAGGGGGAATCCCACTACCACCACCAGTGTGCAGCCCCACCTGGATGATGCTCCAGTCCTCTCACACACACCAGCTCTCAGTGGGGAGGAGAGCAGAGGGATGGAGCCAGTTCAGAGAGGGGGGTTATTAGGAGGCCATGAGGGGTAAAGGCCAGGGGGGAAAATTTGGCCAGGACAC